TAACGGTTGAAGGTTGACCGGAGAATCTGGCGACGAGGAAGGCGACGGGTCTGAGAGGGAGGATGAGTCCGTACACGATGCCGTGGTAGTCGGGGATGAGCCCGCCGACTCCGAGTTTTGTGTCGATGTGCTGTCGTGATGCTTGTGCGCAATGTCCTGCGACAGACCTGTTGGCCGGAGGTGAGTTACACCGTTTGAGGGTAACTTTTGTGCCTCCACCTCCATCAATCTTTGTTCCTTGAGGGTGGCACCGCCTTGAACATCCATAGCAACCGAGTTCAGGTCAAATACTGACATGAACGAAGGCAATTGATCCTCGTACATCCGCCGGGAGGCAGACGGCATGGTCATGGACGGCCTTTGATGATGCCTTGCCGGGCTCCGTCTGTCGTCAGCGCAGAACCCGAAGACCACCTATTGCCAAACCAAAGGCGGTATCCCTTCCCGAATATGTGCGCGATGAGCACCTGGCCTGCGTCTTTCTGGATATTGGGCGATGGCGTCTGAGCCGTCAACCTGTTAAGGAGCGTCGAGAATCGGAGATCCGAGAGGAAGGTTGAAAATGAGGATTGCACCAAGGGGACAGCTCTGCTGGATCCTCTCGCGCTCTGTCCGTCGTCCTAGATCAGGCCGGGCTGATCTTGACGCTTGTCCTAACGCTGGCCGTCGAAAGGGCACAGGCGAAAGGTCTCGAGGTTTGACTGCGGCGAGGTCGAGACTCGTTCGGGGTTGTCGGCGGCGGGGAGGCTACGACGGGTGGTGGACAAGAAGAAGGGTGTTCAAGTGAGGGCAGTCGTCTGTATGTATGGATTCCGTATGTGGTTATTTATGGATATGATTGGCGAGAAATGGACCAACAACTTGTCGAGGACGGTGCCGAGAGGAGCGAGGCACAGGAGGGTGTAAGACGGGGGGTGCTAGAATGGTGTCGAAAGATAGCGGTTGGGTTGTCAACGCATGGTCGTTTCTGGTGGCCAACAACCTAAGACAAGTGAAGCGGAAGGACAGAATCAAAGTCGACGCCAACAATAAGACAATGCGAGACAAGAAAGGACCAGAACTTCGTCTTGCGACTCTGGCCGTCTGCTCTGTCGGGGAGTCTCGACGCTTCTATCCTGGCGGTGGGAAAAAGGTAGATTGGTCAGGTAGGCAGTAGGGTGTAGAAAAGAGAGGAGGAATGGGTGAAGAGAAGGAGGAAGTCGCCGACGAGTGACGGGTAGCGGTTCGAGGGTCGAGGCAAAACAGTGGGGTGGCGTGAAGAGAGAAACAGGGGGAAGTATTGGGTGGTGTCGACTTCTCAGTGGTGCTGACAGGCGCAAGTCTACCAACAATGTGTCCGAAATTGCGCTAAGCTAACCTCCAGGTGGCCTAGGTTTCCAGTTCTCGAGGGCAGAATGCCGGACTTTGATGGATGAGAGACAGAAAAGCACAAGCAAGGGGAATTGATAGGAAGGATTGCCTGCTGAAGAGAGTGTGTGCACTGCAAATGCACTGATGGGCAAGGACCAGGCCTGACTGGGGGCCTCTTTCCCAGGCTGACCTCTAGCGGCCCTCAGGTTGTTCGAAGGTGGGTCCCGGTGCAGCCAGCCTGGAGCGCATTCAGTCCCGTTCCCACCCCACCTTATGTTTCAGCCAATGGTACAGGAATCAGGGGCATCGCCAGAGACAGAGATGGCGGCAAGGCCAAGAAACCAGCCACTCACAGTGTCGCAAGCGAACAGGCTCACTCGCCTGGGGCTATTAATAGTCGCCAATCCACTTTCCTTCGGTTTTTACGCGCTTCCGTCCGACCAATCGCAGCGCACGTCCATAATTAAATTCTCGCTACGAAGTAGATCGACGCTTCAAACCTCAGACCTGGGGGGTTCAAGGAAGGTACGTACCTGAGATGCTCGGCTCCTTCCTCCTCTCATTAAAAGAACACGAGGGCAGTCTGGCCGAGAGATGACATGAGAGAGCACAGAGCAAGGGATTCCGAAGAGACGGATATCCTCTGCTGGTGGCAGAGTAGGGCTTTGAGGCTCCACTGTCTATATAACCTAGACTCTAGCTGCTACGGGCTACTCTCATTGAACGAGACAATGTGCCTAGGACCAGCATCTCGGTATATTTCTAGGATACCCAGCGCCCAACATCCACGAGGACATGTTTCGAAACAATCACATAGCCGCCATGGCATCTCATCACCTCGGACCTGCACTGTCCAGGACATTGCATCTTCTCGATTTCGCCGACGGCGGGCCGGAGACCGCTCCTCCACTCCCACGCGGGATTCCAATTGTCCATGAACACAGAACCACACCAGAAAGCAGGTCGTCTTCCGATCCTCTTCTATGCCTCCGCTACTGTCATCGATGCTTTCTTCAAGGTTTATTCTTCCTGGTGCTGCTCGACTACCACGACCACATGTCCACATGTGCGGCTTCTCGCCTCGGGTTTCTCATGATTCGCATCCATGTGCACAATCGAAAATGATCACAGTATGTCGGTCAAACTTGGCCCCTGCTAAATCTGAAACAGCCAACCACCGCCGTTGCTCCGCTTACCTTCTTCAAGCCCCGGCCACCATGAACCGAGTCCACTCTCTCAGGTCCTCAACCTTCCGTCCAGACCCAAACCGAGGTCTCGCCATGTTTTGTTTGAGCCTCACCTGGCGAGAAGAAGTGGCTCTCGGTGGTGAAACTCATGTGGCCCCTTCATGCCGATGTGTGTGTCGTCGGACGAGATATTGACATTCTGACGGTTTCTCCTCGCATGTTCTTCTTAGACCAACACATCGATCACATACCCACCTGCCAGGAAGCCAACGACGATGTTCGAAACAAATTACTCCCAGTTCTAGGTGGGCCATCGAACCCTAATGCCAACGGTCTCTTGGCTCCCTGAAAGCTTAACTCGGGGACACGAGTCAACCGCGTCTGGTTTCATAATGAGTGGGCTGGCTACGAAGTATGTAAGGCAGGTAACTCACCGCATGTCCTGTCCGAAAATGACAATGTCAACAACAAGCTGCCGAAAACGAACCTGATTCAAGTGAATCACGAGCCTTTCTCTATCTGTCTGACAAGTAAGGTACGGATGTCTTCCACCCGGTTCTCGACAAAACCTCCGTCAACATCTCCTTTAGCCTGTGTTCCCTGTCCGGTAGTGAGATCGGGAAGCTGGTGTCATGCGTTCAACCCTCCGGCTGCTTCAAGAATGACATGACAAGACCATGATTTTCACCTTTCCCATCCCCCCCCCCCCCCATAACAGACAACCAAGCGAGGGAGATATTACCAGGTCAGCAACGAAAACGAGTTCCCAACAACTGGAAGCCTTCCCGCGTCCGAACATGTGGGGGAGCTGTCGTCGTTTCAGCTGTCTCCCGTGAAAGTCTATCTGAAGCTGGCTGTAACATCACTGCCTTGGTCAGCTGCCACGGAAACGGTGTCGGCGAGGCGGGAAGCTCGACTATGGCTTGTGCGCTTAGATTGGGAGGTTTCCGATCGCAATCCTTCTCTTATATCTTGACTGTCCTTCTTAAGACTGATCGAGATCTGGGGGTCTGCTTGGCCTCAAGTGAGGATGGGAAGCTTGCTGACTCCATACGTTCGACCGCGTTTCGATATCTCGGGCGACTGCTGGCCCGCGAGGCGTGGGTGACGAGACGGAACGTCTTGACGACGGCGGAAGGACTGAGGATGAGCTTGATATGTCACGGCATCGGGGGCATGACCTTGCCGACGCCGGACACGTCATACAGCCAGGGACGCTTCAGTAAGCGTGCCTAATAGCGACCAGCTGATCGTCGGTCACTTCCTCGCTCATCCTTTGTATAGGGGCACCGCGGAGCTGGACAAAACTGGGTGCTGGGTTGAGGTGCTGAGCACTGGGCCAACTTTGGAACGGTATCTTACAACCAATCCGTCCACCAGCTCCATGTCCATACACCGAGCAGCAGCTAAGGACGCAATTAGTGACTTGAGATTGGCTTGGGAGAAAGGCGTCATGAACGGGCCTGTGAGAGCTGCTGCATTGGTGTCTCTGCCTGAAACTGTGTACAAGTGACGATGAGGATTGAGATCGGAAATGATGAGAGGACATCCTGCCGTAGATTCCACCATGCGGGAACCTCTTTCAGGTCGGCCGTCGTCTTCGGCTCGGGTAACTTACAGACTGGAAAGAAACAGAGGTACCAATATGTTCTCTGGCAACTGGTTGCGCGGGAGACTGCAAGGTGTTAGTGTAGTTCATGGCACGGGGGCATTACACTCACTTCCCGAACTTCGTGATGCAACAACAAGCGGATAACGATGACGGTCATGGTCTAAGTTGTAGTTGTGACGTTGACGACCAAGCTTTGGTCACGATCAAATGCTCCCGCTCCAGGTCTAACTGTGCCGACGTACACGTTGCCCTGTTGATGTGCAGTGCAACCTCCTCAAAATGCGCTTTGTGCTCCACATTGGAGATGTGTAGCAGAAGTTATAGAAATATGATAACCTAACATGGTCTGCTAGACCACTGGGGGCTCACATAGCTGCGCACGATGCCACAGCTCGACTTGAGACCGAAGCCACCTACCCTATACTCATACGCCCTCGCACCTGCCTCGAGGCTCGACCAGGCTGCTGTGACATATCCAGTCTGCGACAATCCCGGCATGCCAGAGCAATGTAGCCACGTTCAAATTGTTGAGCCCTGTTGAGCAGTTAAAGTTCTCCGTCGTGTCATGGAGATAACTGTCGGCTTTTGATCTTCGCATCTAGCTTCACAACAGCCACTCACCGGCTGCGCATCCAACATCATCCATTATTTCGACACTTGAGCAATTGAACACGTAGCCTACCACTATGATTAAGAAGATTGTTTCAATCCTTTTCAACAATCTGTCGAGCTAGACCTGGATATTTGTGCACCGAAAAAAGGTTGGCGGCACAAAAGTTGTGAAATGGAGACCACTCAGCCGCATAATGTAATAGCACATATCGACCCTGTATCTCACAACAACATCTGCCGCCCGCTTGGCTAAGTGGTATAGCGTGTCACTCGTATTCTTCGACGGTCATGACAAGGTCCTCGGTTCAATTCCGAGAGTGGGCAGATCTTTCTTTTTGCCTTTTCCTCCTTTTTGTCGACCTTGATATCCCTCGTCGATGACGCCAGTCTTCGTCCGACTTCTTGGATGTCATTGGACAGAGATAGGGAACGTATCCCATAACAACATCTGCCGCCCGCTTGGCTAAGTGGTATAGCGTGTCACTCGTATTCTTCGACGGTCATGACAAGGTCCTCGGTTCAATTCCGAGAGTGGGCAGATCTTTCTTTTTGCCCTTTCCTCCTTTCTGTCGACCTGGATAATCCCCTCGTCGATGACGCCAGTCTTCGCGCGACTTCTTAGATGTCGTTGGACAAAAGATAGGGAACGTAGGAAAGAAATGCCCACAATTGGAACCGAACAAATAAAACTAACTTTACCCGAGAACAATTGGAACCGAACCGAGGACCTTGTCGGGAGCGCGTCAACGATGGACTTGACCGATACGGATATCGACAATTTCATGGATCCGGCGAGACTGTGTCAACCTGCACGGCGCATCATCCAGAATACCCGGAACGAGCGGTCTGCGCGCAACAGCCGGAATGAAAACTTCCTTGTTGTGACGAAGGCAATCGTCGAAACTGCGAGCTGATGTTTGTCGGATCCCGGACATGCAGCAGTCCAAAGTTTACTGCTGCATGCCCCTGTTGTGCTGCAGGCCCGGCTAATGATCTTGCAGAGGAGTAGATGATCGCACTTAGCCCCAGCTTGACATATCGACTTGGAAAAGTGAGGTGACGCCCAGCAAGACCTCGAGTTAGAGACCCAGTAGACGATATCATCGAGGCTTCTCGACGGCTTCTGCCTCGGAAAGTGAAGCGAGGGACGACGTTCGTTGAAGAACCCTCGGAGCTATGGCCACGTGCGGCGGGGGATTAGGCCTGTCTTCAGCGCTGCAAGCCCCCTTTTTTTCCAGCCTCCTCCCCCGCCAACAGGGCCCGGCCGATGGTCCGAGTAGCGGCTTGTCTCGTGTTGACAGGGCCGGATTGGGCGTGTCCAAGCTCACTGGCCGGCCCCTTCATTTGAGAAAGCGGATTTTGATGCACGACTAAGTGGGCACAGCGTGCGCCATGTCGCATGCAGGTCAGTGGAGAAGTGGTGTTTCTTCAGCACTGTCCGCCTCTTCAGTTGAAGAAAACGAGGTCGACTGTGAAGACAGAGAAGGGAGCATGATGCTGCCAGTGCCGGCTGCGGTAAAGTGAGGTCTTTGCCAGATCAACCAATGTTCGTCCAAGACGTTGCAATCGGAGAGAGAGTTACTCGTCTGGGAGGAGGTTAGGAAGGACCAGCGCCGGGGGCCCTAGACCTGCAGTGGTGTTTGTGACGGGGTGTGATGAAGATGTGCTAAGATGCCCTTGCATCAGGATCATCCCGGCCGTGATGTGCTGCTCAACATTTCATTACAGTGTTTCGTTGCGACGCTGTTCCGCCGTGCTTTGGAGCTCTGTGCGCCGGGGTCCCTGCAGAGGTTCGTGATCTATGCCCGGCCTGGCTAGAGCTGCCGTCGGCCGGTCAGTGCTGGTCAGACTTGTCGAACTCAACTTCATGATTCTTCGTTTCTCGCCTTCTCCTCACCTTGCCTTCTGCTTCCTGACACCAGTATTTTCGGTGGGCCTCGTCGAGGTCGACGGATCCGGCTTCGATCCTCACCCAGTGCTCAGTAAGAAGCCCAGGACATCGACAGTCAGATCTCTCTCACCTTGGCCGAGTAGTTTGACTTGCGGAGGCGTTGCCCTCAAATACGAAGCTGTCATCCTTTCTCGTCGGGACCCCTTCTCGAGCAGCACAACGCCAACAGTTGACAGGTCCGGACCTTGATGCCGGCTTGCGTACACGACATATGTCAGCTACTGCACTAACGGTTCGAAATCCTGTTCGTTGGTGCGTCCATGGGATCATAGGGAAAAACCTGGTTCATCTCTCGAAAGCCGTTGCAGCTAAAAGCATGCCACCTCTCCGAGAGGATTTGAAACATAATCCGACTTTGGGGCATTCTTGAGATTCTTGAGACTGAGAGACGAGACGAGACGAGACGAGAGGAAGGCTGGGAGAGACAACAGAGACTGATGCGGGACTGATGAGTTAAAGTCGGAAAATGGCCTCGACGGGTTTCATCACTGAGGCGGGCCAGGTGCCGGGTCCATCATCAGCAACGGCAGGAACGAGTTCATCGACGGTAACTTCCCTGGCACGTTCAAACTCAAACCCAAACCCAAACCCAAACTCGATCTCGACCTCGTCAATTCATCCGAAGTCACGACCGAGACCAAGTGACAACTCAACATTCTCCACCTCAACCATCAAAGTCACTTCTACCACATTCAACAATTTGCAGGTCAGGTCCAATTCACTGCGACGCCCAAACAACAAAACCGCCGACGACAACGCTTCTCCTTCTCCAAGAGGAAGCTGCACCACCACCAACAGCAACGAAACCAATAGCATTCTGCATGTCCATCGCCAGAACCACAATTCGTCCAAACTTCCGGCTTTTCGCTTTGCAGATCTGAAGAAGGACGCCCTCGTTCGCCCAAACTTGCTGCAGCATCGCATCCCGCCTTCGCCTGTGTCACCGATCAGAGACGGGGCTGAGACGGTGGACGCGGACAGGATCCAGACTGAAGTTCAGCGTCAGCAGGATTCCCACCCGCAGCGCGACCTGCATGACGCTCCCGTTCAGACCAGTCCACAACAAAACAAACCCCTCCAGCGAACCAGGCACATCCCAGCGTCACCGCCAGACCACAAGAAGCCCGAAAAGTCTTCTGTATCGTCAGGATCGCCTTCAGACCGCGAACGCGCCTCTCATCCAAGTCCCTCCAGGATCAGAGCCTCCACCTTTCAAACAGCATCATCGCATACCGATCCCTTGACGCCTGCTTCCTCCACCAAACGGCCCGCGTCCTTTCCCGATTCGCCCTCTGCAGTCACATCCCTCTCTAAAGCGACACCCGCCGCCAAATCGCAGCATCGCGGGGTGGCCGCGCTTTCCAGTCCCGAGTCAAATGGCACTCCCGCTGGAAACGGCCCGCCTTTGACACAACCTCGACGTGCAGCCTCCGACAGCGCGACGAAGAACTGGGCTCAAGGCCAGCGCGAACTTTTACTGCCCAAGGCTGTCGAATCGAACAAGTCCGACGACAAACGACGGTCGCGCCCACCGGTGTCCTTCCGGCAACCCAATATAACCGCATCTGGTCACGCCGTGATCGCTCCTATTCGTGGATTTCGATCGTCGGGGTCGCGAAAGAGCCTCGTCCTCGACATGAATACCAGACGCATGTCTTACGATGACAGTAGCGACGGGTCCAGCGATCCGAATCATCGGGACCGTACACTACGAGCACTGGAAGGGAGGACCGACGATGGCTACTCCCAGATGACCCCGCCAGATTCCGCGGAGGCGACTCCGGATGACAACACAGCAGACATCTTCATGAGGATCGCTCGTGAGGACTCGACGCAGAGAAGCCCCCGTGACAACCGGGGTGGGGATGAGCAAAGCGCAATTGTAAGTGGCGTACTTCTGGTTGTTTCGGTCAAGGTGCCTGCAGTGTCCTGTCGCGTGCTATCTCCTCCTGCAACACATCTCTGGTCCCTTACGCGTACTCGTAAACGGGATGCAGTTGGTGTTACAAGTGTCTCACACTCCCCGTTGCGGGATTCAGGGCAACGTGCTTGGGTAGCATGGTCTCGGGACACTGCAGCGCAACACTCGAGGTTCACTTATTGCTGTGTCATACTCAAACTAATAACCCCTAGGCTCGAGTCGCCCGGACAACCCAACGTCGGCCCTTCTCGGCTGCCGTCCCCTCCTACCAGGTTTCATCACCGCCACAGGTTGTTCGCCGGCTTTCGGACCAGCGAGAAACATCCCGGACCCGCCGCGCAAACGAGCAGTCGGCTCAGCAGATGACCCGAGAACTAAACTACCGGGGAATTGCCAGGGATCAGCCAAAACCCAGCTGGACCGGCAGTAATGACGAACCTGCCCGGACACAGAGCAGCAGGGCGGGTTCTCTGAGACCTTCACCAATAACACCACGGACTCTAGCTTTCCACGATTCACAATCTGAAGTGGGATCTGGCTATTCGCGGCGGCGGCCTTCCATCACAGAGAGCAGTGGAGGGTTGCCTTCTAGGGCGTCGCAACTAAGGAACCCAAACCTTGCATATGCGCAAGGGCGGACGTACAACTCGTCTCCCTTGGCCCCCCGAAACGTTGACGCCTCAAGTCACCACCCGGCTGATACGAATCATGGTTTGGAAGGAACCGAATCATCGGCTTCCACAGCCGCTCCCTCGATGATTTGGGACGAGCTTGACGACATGAAAACGCGGATACGCCGTCTAGAGCTGACTGGCAAGCCTCCAGCAACATCAGCCGCAGCCATGTCTCGGATCTCAGACGAGAGGCCTGCAACAGCTGTCACGAATGCGACATCAATGTCAGCCTCGCCTAAACGAAACGCTGGTACGAACGCGCCACAAACGGAAGTCGGCAGCACGACGTCTTCCCAACGAGACTCGCAACCCATCGTCTTATCCGCATTGTCCAAGACGAAGGGTATAGTGAGCTCTGATGTGTACAGCGCCATCGAATCGGCTGCCAACGATGCACTCGCATTGATCTCCATGATGGGAGCACCTGGCCTGCCAGGACCAATATCAAGCGGCGCGAGTACGATTGGCGGTGGAGGTGGCGGAAGCGTCACCGACAGACAACTACGCCGGAAAGCTGAGAGCATATGCCGAAACTTGACTGAGCTTTGTCTGGCATTGACTGAGGAATCCCCTGAGAAGCCCACCGAAATTACTGTGTCGAGTCCTCCAGAACAGGAGACTGTTGTCAGTCCCACTACCTCGCGGATGAACAACGTGTCAAATCAACGCCGGCCAAGCGCTCTCACGGACCAAACACTGTCCAGGCTCAACGCAACTCCTCGAGGACCGAGCAGCCTGGACCAGCGGAGAACTTACTTGTCATCGACACCGCTCCCCA